ACACAGCACCCTGCCCACACACCATCACCAGTGTTTGAAATGGCCCTGAGCTCATGGAAACCAGGCCTGCAGGGACATGGACAGGGCCTAAGTGCCACACAGCACACACTGACCATACACCATCACCAGTATTTGAAATGGCCTCTCAGTGGAGCCAGTGCTTCCACCAGGCCTGCAGGGACAAGGACAGGGCTCAGTGCCACATAAACACACAGCACCCAGACCATATACTGTCACCGGTGTTTGAAATGGCCTCTKAGCTCATGGAAACCAGGCCTGCAGGGACATGGACAGGGCCTCCTCAGTGCCATACACACACACCACCCTGCCCACACTCAGTCACCAGTGTTTGAAATGGCCTCTCTGCTCATGGAAACCTTCCACCAGGCCTGCAGGGACAAGGACAGGGCCTCAATGCCACACACCACACACAGCACCCTGCCCACACACCATCACCAGTGTTTGAAATGGCATCTCAGTGGAACCAGCATTTCCACCAGGCCTGTGAGAGGCACAGACAGGGCCTCAGTACCACACACCACACACAGCACCCTGCCCACACACCGTCACCAGGGCATGAAAAAGGCCTCTCATGGAAACCAGCCATGGAAACCAGCTCATGGAAACCAGCCATCAACCCAGCACTGACAAGCCCCTCATTGAACTGTGTCACAGGGGGTGAAAAGGCCTCTCAGTGGAACCAGCATTTCCACCAGGCCTGTGAGGGGCACAGACACGGCCTCAGTGCCACATAAACACAGAGCACCCTGCTCATACACCATCACCAATGTCTGAAATGGCCTCTGAGCTCATGAAACCAGCCATCAACCCAGCACTGACAAGCCCATCACCAAACTGTGATCAAACACCACATCTGCACGCTTTCTGAAGACTTTGAGGGATGATGAGGGCTGTTTTCTCTTGTACTGTTGCTCGTTTCTTGGGAGAAGAGCCCGATCCCCACCTGACCACAACCTCCTTTCAGGCAGTTCTGGAGTAAAAAGGTCCTCCCTCAGCCCTCTTTTCTCCAGGYTGAACATTCTTCATTCCCTCAGATCATCACAGAACTTGTGCTCCATGCTTATTTTCTGTCAGATTTTACCATTATTTTGACAAGCTGCCCAAATTGGGATTTTTATTTGCTGCACTTGCTATCAGTTTACATTTGAGATAGGAAAAAAGGCAGAGGGCTGTCCCTTGGAAATCAAGATGAGCAAGATTCTTCCTTCCCCTCACCCTGCCAATGATGCAATCAAAGTGGTTCAACACATCACCWCCTCATCCACAGAAGAGATAACACKTTTTTCTTTGTAAAACAAAAATACCTAGAACTGCACATACCTGGAAACAAGGGCCTTTTGGCCGGCAAAGCGAGAGCTCCAGACACCCTGTGCAGTTTCCCTCCTGTGGTTTTTAGTGCTATTACAAAGCTGTTAATGAGCTTCCAATTACTTCTGAAAGCCCAGAACAAACCCTAAGGGAGCTGTAGTACCAAAAATTAAACAGAGAACTTCAGCACCTTACAAAAGGACRATTATTTACACAGGCACTGTCAACCTAAAACAAACCCGGCAAGCACTGATGTTTTCTGACCCTTGTGACTCAAGGTATGAGTCCCATAAAGGTTTAAATGAAGTCCTGGCAGCATCAATTGCCAGATGCAKCATCACTCTAGAAAGCTATATGCAAGTTTCTAGGAACAAAATAATATATTTTCCCTTTCTTTTTTTTTCCTCAGCAGCTGTTTTCGTTCATCAACAGTATAAGCACCTCTGTGTTGATTACAGCTGTCACCAACACACCTACTCCGAGGGCCAGAAGAAATCAATCCTGAGCTCTGTCCCACAGAGGAAAGCCAAAATAAGACATTAGGAGCTTTGCCCTTGCCAAACTCTACATAAACTGTGCTTGAGAAGCTGCCTGCTAACCTGCTTCCCTGTGGATATGCRATTTGATCAGGTTTATCATCGGGCTGGTGCTGTGAGACTGGAGATGGAGAGGTGCCCACTCAGAGTGGCTCATGATGGGAGAGGAGAGCAGGGCAGAGTCTGTGTGAGAAAACACCRGCTATCACAGCTGAGCAGCCGTGAAAACAGGGCTGAGGGGAAACAGTGCCAGATAGCTGCCCAAATCTGCTCTGCCCTTGGGAAGGGCGGGCCCCCTGCTCCATCTCCCGCAGGGTGGCCCTCGGCACCTTCCCCGGGCCGGTGGTGGGGCCCAGCTGGCTGAAAAACAAGTACAATTTTCTTGTGGGATTGTAGAAACATGCAGGAAGGTGAGGGGTGGAGGGAGACAGAAGAACTGCTCTTTGGTGGTATCACAAGCTCGAAGAAGCCAACAGCCTTTGGCTKCCACCGTGGAGTGCCCCAAACATGAACGTGCTCTGAGCCTCGGTGGTAGCTCACTGTGAGCTGCAGGAACCAAAGCAAAGACCTGCCTGTGCTGCCAACACATRACTGACCCTGGAACACAGGGAGGGACAGGCACTGAGGGATGGCAGCCTGAGCCAGCAGTACAGGTCAATCAACATCTGCACACTCAGATCTTCACAGATATTTAAGCACTGAACGCCTCTGGAAATCAGGTGCCATGGCAGGGTGGCAGTGGCACAGGGTGACGGGGAGCCTGCTGGAAGCTGGCGAGCTCACCGGCTGCCCTGTGCCAGGGGTGCTCCATGCCTGACCCTGAGGAGAGGTCTGAGGGAGTAAAACCAGAGGACACTGCCTCRTCCAACATCGAGAAAAAATGGGGAGTGGTGCCAGCCTAGTGCCCCAGCAGCCAGCTTTGGCTGAACACAGGCAGGCCAGCACCAGGGAAGGTGTAGAAGGGTGGGAGGGRATGGGACCAGCTCTTCCTTGCGTGCTTGCTCTTAACATCAGCTTTATTGTACCATCAAAATGCATCCACACACAGTGCATTCACACCTCACCTCTCTGGGTTCCTTTTCCTGTCCTCCACTTTCTAAAGAAAAAGTGGCATCAATTGCTGACGAGTCACAGTTACCTGCGTGGGTGGGGCTGAAGGACCATCTTTTGCAGCTCGTCTCACATTTGACATATCCAGCCCCATCATTGTCTCCCCAGACTCATTTCCGCTATGAAACTTTCCCCAATATGTGCCTTTACCCTCAAAATACGGCCTCCAAAACCGTTTTGCTTATTGTACAATGCTGAGTGACAGCATAAAGGGTTTTTGAGACACTTGCAGGATGCCTGCAAGGAGCAGGTTTGCCATTGCCAATACCTAGGACTCKCCGTGTTCCATGGCATAGGCAAAGCAGGGCTTTTGGTTTTGGAACACCTTTCAGCACTTATCTCTGAGTCAAATATGCTCTCCTCATTTTCCTGGCATTTGCCTGCAATCTGCTATGCACCTCCTTGCCCCAGGGTAAGGGCATGCAGCTCAGTGGGGTCACTGGGAGCCCAGCAGTGGCAAGCCTTGGCCAGAGGAGACAGCAGCAGCAGTTTTTACCTTCCAGAGCCCAGCAGCTCATATACCCCAGTGCACAGGGTGCCTGGAACTCCACAGGGCAGACACTTGTGSCCCTCTCTAGTGCTCACCTCAGCCCCACAGCAGAGCATGGTGCATTTKATACAGTTGTACATTCTCAGGAGTTTTCTTTTTACCATTTAGCAGGCACAAGGCTGCCTCCGCTTCTCCCTGGCACRGGGCTGTTCCTGTGCCTGCTGAGGGTTTCAGTACCAGGTTGAGAGAGCACCTTCGAGCCTCTGCAGTGGTTTGAGGCCACCCAAGGAGGCAGCAGGGCCAGAGTGGCAGGGCTGTGGTGGGGAGGGATTTATTTCAGCTGATCAGAGCCAATAGTATCTGACAATATTTAGTCTGGAACTGCACACGGCTACCAGATTTACAAGAGAATGTGGATCAATTTAAGGGTGAAAGACCGCACTCCCATGGCTGAGATGAAGTAACCTGTGTACTTCAATAGGTACTGATTCCTGGGGTTCAGCCTAGGCTCCTCAATTGCACTATGAAAAGGTTCTGTGCATCCAGAGTATTATATCTGAACTATTACATTTATTTTGGGGCCTCCTCAAATTATATTTTTCTTGATGAAGGAGTGAGAGGATGATCAGAAGTTTACATACCCTCCTTTGTGGGCACTAGAGAGAAGGCTCGATCAGAAAAGCTCAACTACCATCAAGATAAGAGCCAACATCAATCTAGAACAATTTTCATCTGTTCTTCTTAAGTGAAACTGTTTGATGCCAAAAGAAAGAAAGAATTTGCAGCAGCATTGGTTGGCTGCCAGCACGGTCCTTTGTGTAGCTCAAGCTATCAGTATTTTCGTCTTGCTCCTGAATTTTTGACTTTGGGAATTCCAGAGCCACTTCTGAAAGGAAGAGGAACAGCTCTGTTTCCATTTCAGTAGGGTTTYTAAGAGAGAGATTGCTCCTTCCATAATCTGACATCTCTGCTTCTGCTAAATGAGTGGYGTGAGGCTTAGAGGGCTACTCTTACATGTGAGTGTTTGAACTGTCTAGCAATGTCAGACAAAACAGGCCATGAGCAAACCTATTCTGAGCAGAAAAACAGCTGGCTGGTGAACAAGGCAGAATGAGAGCTGRAAAGGTTTAGCCAAGGACCTTCATCGCTTTCCTTCTGCCTGAGGA